TCTAACAGCACAGTACGATCCTTTAAGGTAATTGGCACAGTGATGTAACCAATCGAATGTGCATCGGAGCTATTTGCTACCGTACAAGAAATAACTTTCGGTACAAAATTGAAATTGAGTATTTGCAATTGAATTAAAGTATCGGAATTGATAAAAGAACGTGAAGCGCCAGAATCTAATAATCCCAAAAAAGGAATGTCTAAAATTTTAATTTGGACATAAGGTCTCAAGTCATTTCCCACATGCTGTAATAAAAAGTCAAGTTTAGGTTTGGAAGAAATTTTCAAAATTTTTGTCGCCTGTACTAAAGAAACGTCACGACGACTTAATGAGCGTTTCTCGGAGCGTTTCCCGAACAAAAAGAACAACTGCGCACCGTAACGCCTTGTGCGCCACATTTCCAGCAGAATAATTGCCTTGGTTCAGGACAATCAACACGATGATGACCTAATTTTTGGCAATTAAAGCAAGGAGAATTTGGAGTTTCCATTGCATAAATAGGTGGACGTGGTGACATTTGTCGACTACTGGTGGGACAGCTAAACCCAGGTTCGAGTAATGGTAATGATGTTCGGTTGCGTAAGGCATGGTGTCTGTCTAAATCATGTTTGATATCGTCAAAACGTCTGCATTCAATTAAAAGTTCATCTAATGTCTGAGGAACATTAGGACCTAATTTAGTCAAATAAAATGGTGATAAATTGCGTTTAATTAAACGGACTTGTTCATATTCTGGAGGTGGTAATTTTAGTCGTGAAAATAAACCCTGCATTACTGCAAAATAAATGTCTACTTTTTCATTCTGACCCTGTAAACGAGCTTTAATTTCGTCGAGCAAATCTTCCTCATAGTGTGGTGGTAGAAATGCATCTCGTAGTAATTGCACTAAGTGCTCCCATGAAGTAGCTTTATGAGAATTAATGTTGTACCAGGTGTTCGCAGTACCTTCAAATAAATCGTAGGCGGTCTCAAATAAAGTTGGATGATCTACTCCACGAGCACGAGCCATTCGCTCAACTCGGTCGATAAATGAATTCAAAGTTTCACCTCTACTATCCCCGGAAAATTTTAATCCCCATTTATGTACAGGAGTACTCGGTACGGATAATCTTGGTTGTAGTTCTGCAGTACGTCTAGTAGGTGTAGAAGAAACTACAGCAGTTGCTGAAGGCATAATTGAGTCGTTAAAATGAAAAGCTTTGTTATCGAGTGAAGCTCTTAATTGTCGAAATAAACCAACTAATTCCCCAAGTTTACTTAATTGTTCAGCAGAAGGCTGCAATAATGTGCGAGTCCTATGTAAACGTCTGTCGGCATGAGCTAGCATGGTAACAATTGACAAATATGAACCTCCCCCAAAAGCATCATCAAAATTGTCAATCTTATTCTGAAGGATCACTGTCAATTCAGTAAGAGCAGCTAAATCCTGAGCAAAGGAAAAAGGGTACTCTGGAGCAACATAACCAGGTGCTTTCTCTAACTCTAACAATTTTCTGAGAATTAAACGACTTTCGTTCATATTACTCCCCATTTGTCCCGCTCTAATCTCAATTTCATATTGGAGTTCAGTCTCTCTTAATCGGTTAATTTCCATAGCCATGATCACACAATAAATTCAAAATACAAATATAAAAAGATAACACAATATAGGTACCTGTTAAATACCAAGAAATACACAAATATCAGTAATAACCACAAATAAAAAATAAGTTGCAAGTACGAAGTTCAATTTAGAAGAG